GCGTCCAAGTTCCCGACTGTGGGTCCGCTGGGCCTGCTGAGCCTGCCCCCGGAGCTGCTCCTCGAGATTTGCGCCTACCTGGACGCGCGCCTCGTGCTCCACGTCCTGCCGCGCGTGTGCCACGCACTGCGCGACCTTGTACGCGATCATGTTACCTGGAGGCTCCGCGCGCAGCGCCGCATTCGCGCACCCTACCCAGTGGTGGAAGGTGGGGGCCAGGGAGGCCCGCTCAGGGCAGGCTTGTGGTGGGGCAGGGGCACCTGGCTGCCACGTGCAAGGAGTCTGATGCAGGCTTTGTAGCTGTTCTGGCTCTGGATGGAGGTTGAGGTTGTTTCGGTGGTGTCAAGGTCTTTGGCCCCTACAGCTTTGGCTCAGGAGAGGTAGGGCAGGGGCTCAGCTCTGGAGTCTGTAACCCTTGAAAGAGCCTAAGGTTTAGGGGCTGAAATCCTTAATACCAGCTACTACAGATCTTCAAGCCCTTAGATAGGGGCTGGTGCTCACTCCTTCCCGCAGTCATTGGTTCCTGGGGTAGAAGACAGTTTGAGGACCTTGTATTGCTATTGTTGATCCTAATATTATCATCGGATCCACAGGCCTTTGAGTCAACACAAGGAACAAATTGGATAGTTGATTATTCTAACCAGGAAATTGATTCCACAGAGGGGCAGGGCTCCTGTGTCAGTGAGTCTCAAAGCACCCTGCATTTGGACTCCTCCCCAAAGTTTGAAAAATTTAGAAGCTTATGCTAGGTGTGGTGGTGCATGCCTGAATTTCAGGATTTGGGAGGCTGAGGCAGGCGGATCTCCAGTAGTTCAAGGCCTCTGGACTACAATAGTGAGACCTTGCCTCAAAAACAAAAACAAAAACAAACAAAAAAACAAGCATCCTGGGCGAGGTGGAGCACAGCTATAATCCCAGCACTCAGGAGGCTGAGGCAGGAGGATCGTTATGAGTTCCAGACCAGCCTACGCTACATAGTGAGTTCCAGGTCAGTCTCACCTACATAGTGAGACCTTGTCTCAAAAAGACAAAAAAAAAAAAAATCAAAAAACAAACAAGGAGCCTGGCATGGTGATTCATGCCTGTAATCTGGGCACTGTCCTGAGGCAGAAGGATCCCTATCCCTGTGAGTTCAAGGTCAGCCTGGGCTACAAATCCCAAATGTTGAAATTACTTAGGCATGCACCGCCATGTCTGGCTAAATTTTTATTATTATTTTTATTATACATGTTTGCAGTACATTATGATTACGTTCATGAGGAGTTGCTACATAACACATCCTAATTCTTTTTATTTTCCCTTCCCTTTGGAAGAGGGTTGTAGAAGTCCCAGTTTTTAGAAACAAGGGTGAGGAGTATTACTAACCTGCCTGGGAGGTGGGTAGTCAGGTGGCCCGTGCCTGGGCCTGCTTGGGATGGGGCAAGTGATCTAGCTGTGTCTGTTTGGTTTTGCTTTGTTTTTTCCGAGAAAGGGTCTCCTATGTAGTTCAGGCTGGCCTTGAGCTCACAGTGAACCTCCTGTCTCAGCTTCCTGAATGCTGGAATGACTGGCGTGTGCCACCATGCCAGACCCACCTGGGAATCTATCTAAGTTGGGTATAGGTTGGGCTCCTTGGTAGCTGGTACCCACCAGGGGCCCTGCTCATGGTGCCCCACAGAGGAGGACTTCGACTGGCCAGCTGCCTGCATTGAGCTGGAGCAGCACTTGGCACGCTGGGCCGAAGATGGGCGCCGAGCTGAGTACTTCTGCCTGGCTGATGGGCACTTTGCTTCCATTGACTCAGTGCTGTTGCTTCAGGTGAGGTGGGCTTGGTGGGGGGCCAGGCACAAGGGTGCCAAGGTGGCCCCAACAACATCTCCTGCTGCCCTCCCAGGATGGGACACTCTGTCTGTCAGGCTCGCGAGATCGCAACGTCAACCTGTGGGACTTTCGGCAGCTTGGGGCGGAGCCCAGCCGGGTTTTGGTCAAGGCCTTGGGTACCCAGAAAGGCAGTACCCATAAGGTGAGAGGGGCTGTGGCAGGGAGGAGGCAGAAGGAGTAGGTAGGGTCTGCTGGCCAAGAGCCTGGGTTTTGTTGTTGTTTTGATACAGGGTCTTGCTATGTATCCCAGGCTGGCCTAAAACTCATGGTGATCCTCCTGCCTCAGCCTCCCAAGTGATGGGATTACAGGAGTGTATAACCATTTTTGGCAAGAGCCTGGATTCTTGTGCTAGATTTTAGATTTGCATCTGACTCTGCTACTGTTTTGTGGCTTTGAGTGAGATGTGACTTTTCTGGGCCTCAGTTTACACTTCTGTCCAGTAGGTAGTGAGGATGAATATGGGTGGAGGATGAACTGTGTGTTAATTGCAGACTTTGGCACATAGTAAATGCTCGGTAGAGATCAGCTCTACCCTGAAGGGCCCAGGAAGGGGTAGTAAGGAGGCTACCTTTGGGGACCACCAGCCCTTAGTGCTTTCATGAGAAGTGGCAGAGAGCCAGGCATCATGGTGCACACCTGTAATTCCAACACTCAGGAGGCTGAGGCAGGAGGATCTCCACAAGTTTGAGGCTAGTGTAGCCTACATAGTTAATTCAAAGGCAGCTTGGGCTACATAGCAAGACCCTGTCTAAAGACAATAAAAAAAGTAACATTGGAGAAGCTCCTCCACCAGTCATCAAGGTGGTCCAGGTACATGGCCAGCAGAGTTGGTCTGGGGTGCAAATCACTATAGTTATGTCTTGGCTGTGTGACCTTGAGTGAGAGACTTAACTTCTCTGTGGCTCACTCTGAAAATTTATATTTAAAAAGGATATGGGCCCAGGGATTTAGCTCAGTGGTGGAGTAAAGGTCCTGAGTTTGATTCTTGGTGTGGGTTGGGGGGAGGATATGTACATTATAGTACCTTTCTCAGAGGTTTTGGTAAGGAGTAAAGGAATAAGTTCATCAGCTGCTCATACTCTAGGTATATTATTATTTTTTATTATTTTTGAGACAGAATCTCACTGTCTAGCCCAGGCTGGCCTCAAATTTACCATGATCCTCCTGCCTCAGCCCCCCAAGTGCTGGGATTACAGGCCTATGTCCCCACACCCAGCAGAGGCTGTACTCTGTTTGTTTGTTGAGACGGGGTCTTGCTATGTAGTTCAGGCTGGCGTTGAAGCCATGGAGATCCTCTTACCTCAGCCTCCTGAGTGCTGGGATTTACAGGTGTGCACGACCACACCCAGCTGAGGCTGTACTCCCTTCCAAGTGTTAACCAGGCCCAACTCTGCTTAGCTTCTGAGATCAGATGAGATCCTCTGAGTTCAGGGTGGTATTGCCATGGCTGTAGACTCAGGCTGCTCTCTTATTAATCACATTTCCAGGCAGCCTAAGACTACCACTGGTGCTGAGACTAGCACTGCTACCTCCAGAACTGAGGGATGTTACTGTGTTTGTGTGTGTGTGTGTGTGTGTGTGTGTGTGTGTGTGTGTCTCCCAGGCTCCGAAGCCAGAGATCCCCGCTATCCTAAACCCTGTTTACACCCAGGTTTGGACTGGCTGTGGGTTATTGGGTCACTTACCCTCCTGCTTCCTCTAACCCTTGGCCTCATCATCTGTGGGATGGGAACATGAAGCTAGAATGGTGTGTTGTGTGACAGGGTATTTCCCAGTAGACAGTAGGGAGGAAAAGCTGTGTGGCCTTGGGTGAAACTGCTGACCTGTCTGAGCCTCCTCTACAAAAACAGGAAGGACCCAGCCTTGCCCCCATGGGTGGTAGGGAAGAGAAGGTCGGATTAACTGTTGTGCCTTTCCTGCAGGGCTGGGTGTGGTCACTGGCGGCCCAGGATCACCGAGTGTGCTCTGGCTCCTGGGACAGTACCGTTAAGCTGTGGGATATGGCAGCTGATGGGCAGCAGTTCGGCGAGATAAAGTAGGAGGGAGTCTAGCAGGGATGTGGGGAGGGCAGGGCCCCGCCTGGCCACTGACTGGGCACTGTGGTTCATGTGTCCCTAGGGGCAAGGCAGCTGTGCTGTGCCTCTCCTACCGGCCTGACATCCTGGTGGCCGGCTCCTATGACAAGAAGGTGACCATCTATGACCCCAGAGGTGAGCTGGGGGTCTTGGGACCCAGGTGGGAAGCACAGGGCTGCTGGGGTTCCAGGGTTTCAGAGTCATACTGGGAAAGTGACAAAGTCACCCAGCCAGCTGCTCATCCAGACCGAGGTTTGGGCTGTGCCACAGCCAAACAGGCAACTGGGGCAGAGGGCATAGAGGAGACCTGGTGGGCTCTTGGCTCCCCATTTCCTGGCTATGTGACCCCAGGCAAGTTGGAGCCTGTTTCTCTATCAGTGGTACAGTATAGCATGTCCTAAGCACGTGGGAGCCCAATGTCTATCCCCAGATCCGAATCCTCGTAACCCTACCAGCCCTGGGGTTAGTGGCAGGGGTGGTAGTAAACACATTGTTGGATCTGGGGTGAGGCTCAGTGGTAGAGCTCTGGTCTACCTCATGGCAGGCCCTGGTTCCATCCTAGTGTCACGAAAAAAAATCAGATTAAATAAGTTAATTTACATAAATCATCTAGAACAAGCTTTGTGTGGTGCTATGTGCCTTTAATCTCAGCTCTTGGGAGGCTGAGGCAGAATAATTGCCATGAGTTTGAGGCCAGTCTGGACTACATAGCAAGACCTTGTCTCAAAAAAGCAAAAATAATGCCAAAAGAAACCCAGAACATCTAGAGCAAGACTGCCTGGCTCAGAAGTCTTTTTTATGGTTTATTCATTCATTCTTCTTTTGTGAACCTGGAAGGTCGCTGATTACCCTTTTGTCCACAAAGCGCTGGAACCAGGCCTGGGGTGGGAGAAGAGGAGGTGGCAGAGAGAAAGGAAGGAGCTCAGGCGTGGTGGTCCTGGATCCAGCTGGGAGGGAACCCAGGAGATTGTCAGCTGCAGGGTGTGGGCTGAGCAGCCCAAGAGGTTTTCCAGGGCACACAGTGGCCTGGGGTCTCCAAGAGGGCCTAGGAATCTGCGGGGCTCTGATGTCCCCCTCCCTGGCCCACATCACCTGCCAAGCGGGCCCAGGCCTGCTGAAGAGCCGGCGGCTGCACACAAGCGCGGTGCTGGCCCTGCTGGCCGACGACAGGCACATCATCTCGGGCAGTGAGGACCACACCTTGGTGGTGTTCGACCGCCGCACCAACAGTGTCCTGCAGAGGCTGCAGGTGGGCACCTCCCTTTCATTCTCCTGTCCTCCCCAGGGTCGGGAGCCTGGGCTGCCATCCCCAGCTCACCAGAGCCACTCTGTTTGTGTCCTTCCCACAGCTGGACTCCTACCTGCTCTGCATGTCCTACCAGGAGCCCCAGCTCTGGGCCGGCGACAACCAGGGCCTGCTGCATGTGTTTGCCAACCGTGACGGCTGCTTCCAGCTTGTCCGGGTCTGTAGGGGCCCTTGTACTTCCTGTCCTTTCCCTGGACTCCTTCCCACCCTCTCTTTGCCCCAAGTGGTATATATGAGTGTCTGGGGCGGGGGGCTGTCCCTGATTGTCACCTGTGTCTCTCGCAGTCCTTTGACGTGGGCCACAAGTCTCAGATCACAGGCATTAAACACTCGCTGGGGGCCTTGTACACCACGTCCACTGATAAGACTATCCGGGTGAGGATGACCGCCCCCCGTGATCTCCCCACTGTCCTTGATTGGGGGGTATCTTCTGACCTCTGCCCATTGCTCCCCAATAGGTACATGTACCTACGGACCCGCCCAGGACCATCTGTACTCGAAGCCACCATAACGTGCTGAATGGGGTGAGGCCCTGCCTGCACCCTGCCCTACCCTCAGGATTTCATGCTGCTGTCTCCTGACTCTTCTGTCCCTGTCACCCAGATCTGTGCCGAGGGCAACGTGGTGGTGGCCGCTTCCGGGGGACTGTCGCTGGAGGTCTGGAGGCTGCAGCCCTGAGCACACAGATGCAGATGTGCGTGTTGGTTCTGCACTGCCAGCAGGCAGGTTGAGCCTTGGCCTCTGTTCTTGGGGGACCCGACCCCTACTGGTGCTGCCTCTGCCCCTGACCCACAGGCTCAGGGCACGTGCAGTGCTGGCCATGGCTAGGTGGGGCCCTTTGGCTGGTCCCTGTGCCTGTGGGAGGTGACATTGTGGTTCTGACCCACTTGAGCTGTTCCCCACCCCTGGGCCCCAGTTTGGTGTGACATGAATGCCCCCTGTCCCAGTTGATTGCTCAGGAGAATAAACCTGATGCACCACACAGGTACTGGGCCCTGGGGAGCTTTGTGTCGGACATTGTGGGGTGTATGACATGGGACTGAGTGGAAGATGGTGGCCTGGACTGGGTGCATGAGACAGCCATGGCTGGTGTAGGGGGTGAGGACCCTGGGTACTTTTGTCTACTGGTGCCTCTCTGTGTGTGACTTGACCGTGTGGCTGTGCGTGTGTGGGGGTTGTCACTGAGCCCCAGTCTGTGTCTGCAGGGTAGTGACAGTGGTCATCTGCCCAGGCTCCTCTGCGGAGTGGGAAGGGATGGTGGCAGTGTGGCCTCAGGGTGTGTGTGACCGGTGGGGTGGGGAGGGAGACTGGGCGCCCGCAAGCCCATCACGCCCGTGCTCCATCTCCGCTCAGCCAAGCTGCACCCCCAAGGATCAATCCGTGTGTTTATTGAAGCCCCCTGTACTGTGGGGCCATCGGTGGCACTGCCATGGGGTCACAGGATGGCGCAGGGTTTCTTCTCCTTGAAGGGGTTGGTGGCGGCTGGGATGCCCACAAGGAAAGGGTCGCTCTTGGCCTGCTCGGTGCAGAACTGTAGCAGGTCGGTGGCTGCCTTGGATACCTGCAGACCGAGCCGGTCAGCTGGGTCCCCTGCCCCCTTGCCCAGGGGTGCCCACCTCACACCCTGCACCCATGTCTGCCCTCACCTTCACGCGCTCGATTCCTGCCTCCATCCGCAGCTGCTCCACGGCCTGGCGGGCCTGGCCAATGTCGCTGCCGATGGCCACCTTGCTGGACATCTGGGGAGGGTAGGTAGAGTGTGATCAATCCTTGAGCCACCTGAGGGTCTCCATGCTCCGCCCTTGTTGCCCTGGGCCGTTAGTGCAAGTACCTCTCCGCAGAGTTCTGTGGATGCTGTGCTGATCCTCCTGCGATGGCCACCCCTCTGCCTCCTGCCCACATCGCCCAGCCTCTCCACCCCTCTCCTCCCACCCACAGAGACTTTGAAGCCAGGCCCCAGTGAAATGTCACCAGCAGCAGCAGCAGCTGCCTTGGCAGAGGGAGTCCCTGCCCCAGGAGGCCCAGAGGCTGCTGGTGTCACATGGGGGCACCTGGGTCCCCTGCCGGGGGAGGGAGCTTGCGGCTTTCTCCAAACTGTTGGGTCTCCTGCTAAGTGTCTCCACCAGCCAGCATCTGCCACTGCTGATGGCACCCAGAGGGCTCCCCAGCCCTGGTCCCCTCTGCTCTGTGTTGTCCACACTGCCTGGTGCTGACGGTGCCTTGGTCCCCACCCCTGTCCACCTCTCATCTCAGCTCCAGACCCCAGGGCCCCTCTGTCCCCAGTGCACTGCCCCCCCAAGCATCTCATCCTCTCTTGGCTGGGCTCCACCCTGGACTCCTCCAGCTGTACAGGCCCAGTCCCAGTGCTTCCTCCCCTTTCCCACTGGTGTCCTCAGGTCTAATGCTGTCTCAGATGTCATCAGAGCAGCCTGAAAAATCAGGCTCTTAGTCGGGGCACTTCCATGCCCACCCTTATTCCCCTGTGATGACCACTCCTCTGGCTCCTACACCAGGGTCACCAATACTCACTGCCTTGTGCCCTCCTGACTCTGCTCCTACAGCAGCACCTAGTTTGAATGTTTAAAAAAAATCCCACCCCTGCACTCCTTTTTGAACATCCCCAGCACTTTTTAAAAATTTATGTATTTTTTTTTTTTGTACTGGAGATTAAACTTGGGACCTTGCACTTCTGAGGTAGGTGGTGGAACCACTGAGCTAAATCCCTGGCCCTATGTATTTGTTTTTGTGTTTTGTTTTTTTGAGACAGGGTCTCACTATGTAGTGAGACTGACCTGGAACTCACTGTGTAGCCCAGGCTGGTCTCGAACTCACAGCGATCCTCCTGCCTCAGCCTTCTGAGTGCTGGGATTATAAGCGTGTGCCACCACGCCCAGCTTCCTGTATTTGTTTTTTTTGAGATGGGGTCTTGCTTTGTAGTTCAGGCTGGCCTTGAATTCACTATGTAGCCAAGGCTGACTGTGAACTCTTGGTGATCCTTCTGCCTCAGTCTCCCAAGTGCTGGGATTAAGGCCCTCAGCTCTCATTTTTTATTTTCAGGTAGGGTCTTACTAAATTGTTATTGCCCAGGCTGGCTTCGCACTTGAAATGTTCCTACCTCAGCCATCCAGAGTGCTGGGATTACAGGTGTGCACCACCACATCTGGCTTTTTTGTTTATCTTTTAATGTAGTCACTGTGTAACTCAGACTAGCCTCAAATTTTCCACCCTCCTGGGTCAGCCTCCTGAATGCTGGGGAGATTGCTACCACCTGCAGCAGCTCTCATTTATGTGTATTCATTTATTTATTTGCCAAACTGGAGATGGAGCCCAGGGCCTCACACATGCTAGACTTTGCTGCTGAGCTGTTTTCCAGCTGTGTCCTTGCTGAGTCCTCACATGGTCCAACTTTCTTCCCTTTTCATCTTTTTCTCCTTTCTCTTCCCCTTCCTCTTCCTCCCTCCCTCCTACCTTTCTCTTTTTCTTTCTTTCTTTCTTTCTTTTTTTTTTTTTTTGGTACCAGGGATTGAACTCGGGTCCTTTTGCTTGCAAGGCAGGAGGCGGAACCACTGAGCTAAACTCCTGGTCCTCTATCTCTTTTTTTGAGGGGTATTGAAGGTATTGAACCCAGGGCCGTCATACCTAGCTACTTGTCCAGCCCTTTTAAAATTTGTTTATTATGACATTGGATTTCACTAAGTTGCCAGGTGGGACTCAAACTTGTGATCCTCCTGCTTCAGCCTCCAAGATTTCTAGGATTAGTGTGCCACGGTGCCTGGCTTCATGTGGTCTTCTATTCATGTGTATCCCTGGTGTCTCTTTTTTCTTGTTTGTTTCCCAGTACTAGGGGCTGAACTCGGGGCCTTTTTACATCCCCAGGCCCTTTAAATATTTTAGTTGAATTTTATTATGATTTTATTGAGCAGGATCTTGTTAGGCAGTTCAGGCTGGCCTTGAACACACCATATAGCCCTAGGCTGGCCTCAAACTCTCAGTGATCCTCCTGCCTCAGCTGCCTGAGTGCTGGGATTCTAGGCATGCAACTTCATTCCTGGACAATTTTATTTTCAGATAGAACCTTGCTAAATTACCCAGGAGCGGGGCTCAAACTTGCCACTTACCTGTCCCAGTCTTCTTGAGTAGGAAGGGCCTCTTCTTTTTTAGTTTTTTGAGACAGGGTCTTGCTGTGTAGTCAAGGCTGGCCTCAAACTCACAGCAGTCCTGCCTTGCCCTTCTGAGTGCTGGGATTACAGGCTTGTGCCCCCATGCTTGGCTCCTGTTTTGTTTTTCTTCTATTGTGGATGAAACCTAGGGCCTCATATTAGTACTCTACCACTGTGCCACACCTCCAGTTCTTTTTATCTTTATGTTGTTGTGTTGTTGAGACAGAGTCTAGGTATGTAATCCGGGCTGGCCTTGAACTCATGGCGATCCTCCTGCCTCAGCCTTCTGAGTGCTGGATTATAAGTGTATACCTTTTAATCTTATTTTTTCAGACAGGGTCTTACTAAGTCACTCAGATGCCCAGGCGGGGCTCAAATTTGGAACTGTTCAGCCTTCAGAGTATGTGGGATTCCAGACATACTCCATCCTGCTTGGTGAGACAGGATCTTTTTAAATTGCTAAGGCCTTGAACTTGCAACCTACTTGGCTCAGCCTCCTGAGTAGCTGGTTACAGAGGTGGACTACTATGCCCCACTATGGGCCTCTTTTTTTTGAGACAGGGTCTTGATATTAATTTAGGCTGGCCTTGAACTCAGTATGTAGGCCAGGCTGCCCTCAGACTCCTGTAAGACTTGAGTCTCACTTTTACTCCTGGAGGGTGAACAGCCAAGAGGCCTTCACGATGCTGGGCTCAGTAGCTCAGCGAGGCTCCAGGAGCTTGTCTGATAGCGAGAGTCACCCAGGAAGGAACACACCAGGCAAGTTGGCTAATAGACCTTTATTAGTCTGGCCAGACGGCACCTCCTAAGCCAAGTAGCTCAGGAAGGGCGGCTAGCTCAGAAACAGAGGCCATTTTATATTGGGCTGAAGGGGGGGGGGTTTACACTTAAAACTTACAGAAAGAGGACAAAGGCAAAGAATCAGTTAATCTGAGCTAGTGGTCATCAGGCATATACTTGACCGTCATGTACTAATGATCAGCAGATTGATTATCCATTTTCCATTTTCAACTTAGATTACAAAGTTCAGAGCATTCAACTACAGGCAAGCAAGGAGTGGTGTGATTGATGTTGGGTCTCTATGTTCACTACAGTTTCCATCTAGCCTCCCAGTTACTTCAAAGCAGCCACCCAACAATTCACAATCAATCGTTAGTTATCCTGTAAGGGATGGGTGGGGGAGTGACAGTCTCTAGGTCGTTTGCTGGTCAACATGCAGTCGCTCTGGTTCAGTCAGGCTCCCACACTCCCAGGTGCTGGGAATACAGGCATATGCCGCCACTCAGCAAGGACCTCATTTTAACTTTACTTCCTCTTTAAAGACCCTCTCTCCAAGCACAGTCACACTCTGAGGAAGCAAAGCTTCAATTTTATGGAACAACTCAGCCCATAACAAGCATATTTTCTGTGGGGCTGAGACTGAGCCAGAACCTCACGCACTGTGGCCTGGCACTCTGCCACTGAGCACAAGCTCAGCCTTTGTTGAGATTCTATGTGCCCAGCACTGTGTAAGAAACAAAAAGACAGCAGTGAAACAAGGAAAAATCTTGCCTCACAGAACCATTGTTCCTTTTTTTTTGAGACAGGGTCTCACTATGTAGCCCAGGCCAGCCAGGAACTCACAGTGAACCTCCTGCCTCAGCCTCCCAGAGAGCCTCAGCCTCTCTGCCATATGCTGCTAGTCTTTGGATCTTATTGGGAGGTAACAGCCATCGCTAGAGGTTTTTAACACTGATGTGTCTGATTTATGTTTTAAAAGTGTTGTTGTCTCAGGTTGGGGATTTAGCTCAGTGGTGCCACTGCCTGCCTCAAAAGTGCAAGGTCCTGAGTTCAATCCCCGGTACCCTGGCTCTTGCAAAAAAGTGCTGTTGTCTCAGCTGGGAGATGGGTTTGGTGGGGAGGGAACCCACAGGAGACCATGGATCTGGGACCTGTTTACAGATAAAAGTTGGCAGATACAGGGTGTATATGAAAGGGAGATCTGAAACTCAGCTCTCAGTAGTGCATGCCTGTAATCTCAGCACTTGGAAGGCTGAGGCAGGAGGATCATCATGAGTTTGAAGGAGCCTAGGCTACATATTGAGTTCAAGGTCAGCCTGAACTATATAGGGAGACCCTATCTCAAAGCACCAAAGACAAAAATCAGAAGCCAAAGTCAAACTTGACTCCCAGGCTGAGGGGTTTGTTCAGTGGTGCAGCATGTGCTCTGTGTTCAAACGAAGCCCAAGGTGTGGTGGCCCATACCTGTGATTCAAGCCTTAGGGAAGGTGAGGCAGGAGGATTGGGAATTTAAGGCCCGCTTGTCTTTTAAAAAAAGTTTTCTATTTGTTATTTTTCAAAAATTTATGATTTTTATTATTATCTTCTTTGTGTGCACCGGGGATCTAACTCAGTATCTTGCACTTGTGAGGCAGGCCATGGCACTACTGAGCTAAATCCCCAGCCCATAGTATCATTTTTTTTTTTTTTGTACCAGGGATTGAACTCAGGCCCTTGTGCTTGCAAGGCAGGTGGCAGAACCATTCAGCCAAATCCCCAACCCCATATTATCATCTTTTGAGATGGGGTCTCACTGTATTGCCCAGGCTGACCCTGAACTCCTAGGTTCAAATGATTCTCCTGCCACAGCCTCCTAACTGGGACTATAGGTAGATGCCACCAAACTTAGCATTTATTTATTTTGTACTGGAAATGGAACCCAGGATCTTGCCTATGGTAGGCAAACACTCTACCACTGAGCTATACCCCAATTTCCCAGGGTTTAGCCTTGGAGGTGAGTAGAGCCATTCGCCACCGTGCATAAGAATCAAGGTTAGTTGGTTAGGGAATATGGGGTGACTTTGAGATCTAGGTGATGTCTGGGAGGTAGATCTGAATGTATTATGTACCTTAAACATACTAATAAAAAATGTGAAAAAAGAGAGGAAGTTGTGTTCTTCCAACGAAGTAGTCTTGTTTTTACCCCAAGGGCTTTGCCCTGGCTATTCCTTATCCCAGTGTGGGAGCATGATCTCCTCAATCTTCACAGTCCATTGTCTTGTCTTGGCTCAAATGACACCTTGGTATTCCTCCCTGGCTACCTGCCCCTCCAGTTAAAGCTACCAGCCCCTCCATCCCCCTTCTAAAGACTTGCAAATCATCCTAGTTGGAATCCTCCATAGAATTTAATACTGTTGCTAATTCTGTTATTTATTTATTATTTAAAGACAGGGTCTTGCTATGCAGTTCAAGCTGGCCCTGGACTCACTATGTAATCCAGGTTGGCCTCGGCCTCCCAAGAGCTGGGATTACAGTTGTGCACCACCACACCTGGCTATTGCTTTTTTTTTTTTTTGAGTTTATTGGCACTTTTAAAGTATACAGTACAGTTACATTCATCATTGGGGTGTTGCTGATTCTTTATTCCCTAATCAGACTGTGGGTTCCAGCAGGGGAGGGTGCACAACTTGGTCTTGCTCACTGCTAAATCTGCATTGTCTGGCAGGGCCTTGTGAATAGCATAGACTCTAAGCTTCAGAGTGGGTGAAGCAAGGGGTTCCCTCTGCACCCTGAGCACCACTGGGAGGATGCATGAGGTGCAGATCCCACTGAGGATCTCACAGTTGTTTGTGGCAAAAGTGATGTCAGTCCAGGACCCCAAAGGAGTTTCCTGACTCATGGCAGGTTTCCTAGAGAAGGTGACAATTTAAATTGGTGGGGGAGCCGGGCGTGGTGGCTTATGCCTGTGATCCTAGCACTTGGGAGGCTGAGGCAGGAGGATGGCTGTGAGTTTGAGACCAGCCTGGGCTGTTTAAGTGAGTTCCAGGTCAGTCTCAACTACATAGTGAGACCCTGTCTCAAAATAAACAAACAAACTGCCAGAGGATGTAAAACAGGAGGTTGTGGGGATTATTATGTAGGGTGTGGAAATTGGGAGATGGAAGAACAGGAGTTGTAAGGTTTGACCAGAGCAGAGACCAGAGTGACTAGAGTGAGGCCACCGAGGCAGGTAAAGTTGAAGCAATGAGGCATTGACTGGGTGCACGCTGGCCAAGGGAGATAAGATCGTTGGCATAGGAAGGAGGGTGCACACAGTTTATATAGAGGAGTTTAAGTAGGGGAGGGCATGTCAGCTTGAAGGGTGGAAAAATTTGGGGTCTCGGGTGTTGGGCTTGAAGCTGGTGAACAGGACAGAGTGAGGGTAGCAGGGAGATAGCAAGTACAGCAAGGTACAGCGGGTGCCATGTGGTTTTTCAGAGAATCCCCCTTGCAGATGTGAATGAGTGAGGCGGTAGCTGGCTTCCTGTCATTGCTGTTCTTGCAGGCAGTGTGTCTGCTGGGTTTTTTTTCCTCAGTTGGGCGGGGGTCTCGCTCAGGGGTCCCGTTAGGATCCACCCAAAAAAAGCCCAGCATGGTGGAACGTTTATAAGGCACTCGGACAGAGGCTGAGGTAGGAGGATCACTGTGAGTTGGAGGCCAGATCTATTTTGAAAAACAAAAACAACTAAAAAAAGACTATCTCATTAACAAGTCAATTTCAGAGAAGCTGAAACCGTTTGCCTAGTGACCTAAATCCTGATGCTTTAGAAGCTGTTCTGTCAGTCCTAGGGGACAGGAACAAATAAGCAGGGGCAGCCGAAAGCCGTGCGTCTTCAGCAATGGAATTGGGAGTGAAAATTCATTCCAAAACTACGGAGAATGCATGTAAAGAACGGCTCCTGGGGCTGGGGATTTAGCTCAGTGGCCCCCGGACCTGCCTCGCAAGCACAATGTCCTGAGTTCATCCCCCAATCACGAAAAAGAAAAAAAAAGCTAGGAAAGAAATAAGGGTTCCCCAGGCCTTCCTTAGCAGCAGGTAATACGTACACAAAAATGGCCGCATCCAGTAATGCAGGGTCTAGAGCTGTCACGTGAAATCAACTTCCGGTGGCTTCTCCCAAGCTTTTTCCGGAGAGCTACTTCCGGTACTCTTGCAGAGAGGTGGTATTAGGGTTTGGCTCTTGCGGAGGACCACATGGTCTCGGACTAGGGTTTCTCTCCTGAGAGGTCGCGGCAAGCTCATGGAGGGCTCCTCAAAGGGGGAGGCGCCCTCAGTGGCAGTGGCTGCCGTGCTGAAACACAGCTCAGCGTTGCCACCCGAGAGCGCCCAGGTCCGGGGCTATGACTTCAGCCGCGGCGTGGATTACCGCGCACTTCTGCAGACCTTCAGCACCACCGGATTCCAGGCCACCAGCTTCGGGCGCGCGGTGCAGCAAGTCAACGCGATGGTGAGGGCGGGGGCGCGCCTGTCCCGACTGGACCAAGGAATACTCTGAGGGGCGGGGCTTCCTGGGCAACTGTGGGCCCTGCCCTGGGCCGTGATTTCAGTGCATCTTTGAGTAAGTAGGGGCCGATTCCGGCAAATTTAAAGCTTTCAGGATTGGGCAGACCCTGAGGCAAGGCCGTGTGGTTAGGGTGGGGGGACTTGGATTTGGAGTTTTTCCCAGCGGGAAGGGGACTGGACCTGAAAAGGAGATTCTGGGGGACCGCGGAAGGGACTGGGTTTGCATAGGCGACATCCCTGGATGGAGTTTGACTCTGGAACTCATCTGGGGCCCTTGGGCAGGGATTCGAGGGCATAACCTAACTTGGCCTGGCCTGTACTGCAGATCGAGAAGAAATTGGAGCCACTGTCCCAGGACGAAGACCACCACTCAGACCTGACACAGAGCTGCCGACCGCTCACTGGCTGCACCATTTTCCTGGGCTACACATCCAACCTCATCAGTTCAGGCATTCGTGAGACCATTCGCTACCTTGTGCAACACAACATGGTGGGGACCTGGTGGGTCTGTGGCCTCCACCTTTCTGGGTCAATGGACATTTAAGTTTTTGAGTACTTAAGTGTTAATATGAGTTCATTTTAAGAAAAGTACTCCTCTGTGAGGGAAGAGTCCTGCCCTGCATGAGGGCCTACATCCCTGCCTTGTGGTTGCAGGTGGATGTCTTGGTGACCACAGCTGGAGGCGTGGAGGAGGACCTCATCAAGTGCCTGGCACCTACATACCTGGGCGAGTTCAGCCTTAGAGGGAAGGAGCTTCGGGAGAACGGTATTAACAGGTGGGACGGGCTGGGGATTTAGCTCAGTGGTTCCGCCACCTGCTTCGCAAGCGCAAAGTCCTGAGTTCGATCCCCGTACCAAAACAAACAGGTGGGACCCTGAGTGGTGTGGGCAGGGAGCTGGCCCTAGGGGCCTGGGGATTGATCCAACATGCCTTTGTCCCTAGGATCGGGAACCTGTTGGTGCCCAATGATAATTACTGCAAGTTCGAGGACTGGGTGATGCCTATTCTGGACCAGATGGTGCTGGAACAGAACACAGAGGTTGGGCTAGAGCAAGTGGCTTGGGAGGTCCAACGTGGTGGGGTCTGAGTAATTGTGGGTTCACACGGATGTCTCCATCTTCCCTAGGGTGTGAAGTGGACACCTTCTAGGGTGATTGCTCGGCTTGGCAAGGAGATAAACAACCCAGAGTCTGTGTATTACTGGGCCCAGAAGGTGAGGAGCTGGGTGGGGCCAAAGTTTTAGACTGGTGTGTGCTAGTTGGTTTCATCTTTGCAGTCACCTGGGGAGGCAGCATCCCTTTTAGGTGAGGAGCCTTAAACACTTGAGAAATTAGTTGATTTGTCTGAAGTCACACAGCTCTACATGGTGGGGAGATTCCTGGCTATACTCCTAGATTATGTGGGTACATTTGGGGGTACCATTTAGCAGTTTCCCTGGTGTCAGGCCTAGGATACCATGTTCCCCAGAGGCTGTGCAGCCCCCACCTTTGAGAAGTAACAAGAGCCACTGCTCAGAGTGCTAGGCACCCTCCTCAGGATTGTGTGCAGGTTTCTTAGATCCACAGCCTCATCTGTGTGAGGGGAATCTTGGATATCTGGACTGTTTAGTCAAGGCAGGAATGTTAAGAACATTTCTCAGCTGGGAGGGAGGAATGCAGCTGGAATGGGGGCCGTGTCACAGCTGCTGACTGTTCCTGCCCTCCTCAGAACCACATCCCTGTGCTGAGCCCTGCGCTCACAGATGGCTCACTGGGCGACATGATGTTCTTCCATTCCTACAAGAACCCTGGTCTGGTGCTTGACATTATTGAGGGTAAGGTTCTAGGGCCCAGGAGGAGCAGGGAAGGAGGCCTCTGAGCCCTAGGCCTGACCACAGTCCTCTTCCCCAGACCTGCGGCTCATCAACATGCAGGCCATCTACGCCAAGCGCTCGGGGATGATCATCCTGGGTGGTGGTGTGGTCAAGCACCACATTGCCAATGCCAACCTCATGGTGAGTGGTACGGTCCCCATGAGGTGGTATTTGCCACCATGCACTAGATCATGGTCATGGGCCAGACAGGCTAGGATCCTGGTCCTCTTTGGACTGAGGTTCTAGTTGGGGAGGCTGCACACGACTGATGGTTATGACAGATGGTAGTAATTGTTAAGGAGAAAAATAAGGCTAGATGGCATGGTGGTGCACACTTGTAATTTCAACCCCTCCAGAGGCCGAGGAGTTAGTTGAGCCCAGGAATTTGAGGCCAACCTAGGCAATATAGTAAGTAAAACTTAATTAAAAAAAAAGGGCTAGATAATGGGATGAGAAGAGAAAGGGGTACTTACTGACTAGGCATGGTGGCACATACTTAGAATCCTAATTGGGTAGGCTGAAATAGGATTGCAAGTACCAGACCAGCCAGTCTGGGCAACTTAGTGAGACTGTCTCTAAAAAAACAAGCTGGATGCCGGGGATTTAGCTCAGTGGTTCCACCGCCTGCCTTGCAAGTGCAAGGTCCTGAGTTTGATCCCTGGGAACAAAAAAAAAAAAAAAAAAAAAAAAACCCAAAATAAAAAAACCCAAAACCAAGCTGGGGGATATAGCTCAGTGGTAAACACCTGTGGCTTGTCTCCAGTACCACAGTAATTATCTTCATTTATTTCTTGAGAGGGTCTCACTATGTAGCTGAGGCTGACCTTCGAATTATGTAGCACAGGATGGCTTTGAACTTACGAGCTTCCTGTTTTAGCTGCCTGAGTGCTGGGATTAGAGGTGTGCACCACACAAACGCAATCCCAAAATAGAGAAGTGTTAGGGTTTCTGGAAAGGGTGACTGTGAGCTGAGGTGTTTGGGAAGTTATCTGGGAAGCTTCCAACAGAGGAAACAGCCAGCGTGGAGGGCCTGAGGTGCCTCAAGAAGTCAAGGAGCAGCTAGGAGTCCTGAGTGTGGAGTGGGGTTGGGGTGGGTCTGGAGGTACCCAGAGAGTGATGGTAGAGCCTGAGTGTGAGTGGATCCTGGAGTCCTGATGGGGTGGTGGCTGTAGATGGAACATGGTGGTTAGGTTTGGAGATCTTCTGTAGCTAAAACTTGGTGGCAGATCTCTCTTCCTCCCTCTGTCCCTCTGATTTCATGCAGTAGTTTTTGCTTGCTCTGGTCTCCTTGGACCTATTATGTAAGGTGAGGTGTAGCATTTTCACTTAGTCTCCCAAAGCCTTGGATTTTGAATTATTTGGGGTTTTTGAATTAGAGATGCTTAGGAGGTGCCTGGCACCAACAGTGGCCCCAGGCATGGACATGGGGCTCCCTTCATCTGGGACTCCTTCTTCAGTCTTTTGGGCTGTGATGTCCCAGGATTCTGCCTGTTTGTCCCCCCGTAACCAGCTGACCAGCCCATCATGTCCTTTGCAGCGCAATGGGGCTGACTATGCTGTCTACATCAACACAGCCCAGGAGTTCGATGGCTCTGATTCGGGTGCCCGGCCAGATGAGGCTGTCTCCTGGGGCAAGATCCGGATGGATGCACAGCCTGTCAAGGTGAGAGGTTGGCCAGATGGGGTGTGGGACCTCCTGGCAATGGGTCATGTGCCTCACCTGGGTCCCCTTACAGGTCTATGCTGATGCCTCCCTGGTCTTCCCCCTACTGGTGGCTGAAACTTTTGCCCAGAAAGCAGACGCCTTCACAAGTGAGAAGAATGAGGACTGAGCAGCTGTGGACTGGAGGCTTCCCCCTCTTTTTTATTTTTCTGGTACTGGGAATCAAACTCAGGACTTTGAGCTTGTGAGGCAGGCATGGTACCACTGAACAAAATTCCCAGCCCCTCCTATTTATTAGGGTGCCACCCATGCCCCCGCCAGCAGTATCTCTGGAATAAATCATCCCATGTAGCCCTGGGTCCTCTGCAGTTGCTCTTGGTTCTTGGGCCTGGTAGGGGTCCACAGCTTCAGCCTGCTGCCCCCTCAGCCTCATAGGCCTCTTCCCGCCAGCACTGCACGCTGCCCCCCATGGCAGTGAGTAGGCAGGGTTCGTTGGGGTGGAAGGCTAGTGACTGTACCACACCGTGGCCCACGGGCAGTGCCAGTGCCAGGGAACCCTGTGGAGCAGGCATGGGGTGGTGGTCAGTGGCTTGGCTGTCCCTTCCGAGACCTGGCTGAGGCCCTCCACTGCCTCTCCCCAACCTTCAGCCACTAGCTCTGCTGGCCTCTTGGGTCCTGTGACTGCATCTGCCTTAAGGCATCCTTAGGTGCTGGGGCTTCTCTCATCAGCAGATGCTCTGGGCAATGTCCGAAGCCCACAATTCTCTCTTCTTAAGTTCTGTTCCCCAATTCCCTGCCATGGCATGGGCTCCACCAGGCCCATGGCAGTTCTGATGGCTCACTTCCCGTATGACCTGTTAGTTCTTTCCTCTCTGCACCTTGTAACTGTCAAGTTTGAGTGCTCCCCTGGCCCAATGGGAACAGCTAGAATATCCTTGCTGTCACAGTTCCCAGAGCAGGAGCCGGAGCTCCAAGATTCCATGCTCCCCATATTCATCCTTTTAGGGAGGTTAATTCTATGGGCTGAGCCCCAGTGCGGTCTCTGTAGCCCAACTTCCCCACTAGGCTGATACATGTCAAGGACAGGGATTGGGGCTTGAAACCACATGAGGACCCTCAGGAAGTTTAGCCTTCATGAATAGCCTCAGGTCCCCTCACCTAGGGGTTCCAGGGGGTCAGCCTGATACTTGAGGCCTTATCTGACCTGGATCCTGCTGTGCCACCTTCCAACGTTCTGTCATGCTTCTTCACCTTAGTATGTGCTATTCCTATTTTCTGCTACCCCTTTTTTGACCCGGGTGTGACAGGGCTTGGCCAGGCTCACCTCCACCAAGTCCCAGAAAAACACTTTCCCGTCCTCAGAGCAGCTGACCACATGCGTGTCTCGCTCACTGAGGCTGCAGTCCAGCTTGTACTCCTGGTTCTTGTGGCCTGTGTATCTGGGTGAGGGGGTGTGTTAGGGGGCCTGGTCCTGCCCAGGGGTGGCAGGGAAGGGAGGGGACCAAGGCTGATCAAAGGGACTCACTCGCCTAGCAGCTCCCCAGTGTCCTTGTCGAGAAGCCGCAGTGTCGAGTCCAGGCTGGACACAAGGGTGCACTGGCCATCACGGCTGAAGCAGGTGCAGGTGATGGGGCCTGGGGTGGGAGGATGGCAGGTGGTAAGGCCGGGGTGCTCCTGGACACCCCACTATCAACCCGGCCTGTACCCAGACACACTCACTGCCCACATAGTCCGAGAAGAGCTGGCCCATCCTCAGGTCATAGCGCCTCACGCGGCCGTCCACAGAGCTGCAGGGAGGGCAGGTCCAACTTGAGTCTCTGTGTCCCTGTGCCCTCCTTGCTGGAGAGGGCCCTGCTTTTTCCATGCAGGAGTGGGACTGGACCACTGGCCTTGAAACTCAGGCCTAGGGGCCCATCTAATCTCCTTCATTTTCCAAGACTCACAGCCTCTGCAAGCCCTTGGGGTCCTCTTCCCATGCATATGCTACCATGCTCAGCTCTGGCATTTGTCTTACTCTGGTTATCTGATTTGCATAGGGACCAGGCTGGGTGGCGCGCGCACACATACACACACACACACACACACACAGCTCTGTGTGAAGGCCCTGGGCTCAATTCTCAGTACTGTGGGGCAAAAAGACCTTTAGCTAGGTAAGCACACCAGTAATCCTAGCTACTGAGGATGCTGAGGCAGGAAGATTTGAAGTTTGAGGCCAGCCTGGGTAACTTATCAAGAACCTGACCCCCACCCCCAAAAAAAGAATGGGGAAGTAGCTCAGAGGAGTGTACCCCAGCATGTATGAAGCCCTGGGTTCAATCCCTAATACTGCCAATTTTTTACTTGTTGGTGTTCTGAGATAAGTGTTAGTAATATGTAGCCCAGGCTGGCCTTGAACTTGTGATCCTCTTCAGCCTCCTGAGTGCTGGGAGTACATGTGTGCACCACTATTCCTGACCAAAAAAGTTAAAAAAAAATGCGTGTGTGTATGTGTTTCTTGTTTTTTTTTTTTTTTTTTTTTTTTTTTTTTGAGACAGGGTCTCACTATGTAGTTGAGACTGACCTGGAACTCACTATGTAATTCAGTAGGCCAGGCTGGTCTCGAACTCACAGCGATCCTCCTGCCTCAGCCTCGCGAGTTCTGTGATCACAGGTGTGTGCCACCACACCCAGCTTTGTGTGTGTATGTGTTTTGAAAGAAGTAACAGGGTCAGGTACAATGGTTGGGCAGTCCAAATTCCTCAAGTGGTGAGAATGGCATGCTCTTGAGCTGTAGTAACGTGTGGGCTATTCTGAACTATAACAGGCCTAATATAGTCAGAGATTCCTGCTTATTTTGTTCACTGGTATATGCCTATCTACAAGTATTTGGTAGTGTGTGTGCTCAAAAACACATTGATGAAGTAGAGGGGGAGTCCTGGCAGAGGAAGAGCAAGAGCAAAGGTGGCTGCATGCTTGGCATATTTAGTAGAAATGAGGCCCAAGAAAGAATAATGGCTGAAAGCCAGCAGGGACCAGGCTGTAGGGCCTTATGCATGCTGGTGAGAAGAGTAGCTGTGTGTGTGTGTGTGTGTGTGTGTGTGTGTGTGTGTGTGTGTGTGTTGTGCAATACTAGAAATGGAACCCAGGGCCTTTGCACTGAGCTCTGTTCTCAGCCCTTTAATTTGTGACAGGCTCATACTATGTTGTCCAAAAGTTGCAATCCTCCTGCCTCAGCCTCCCAGAGTCCTGGGATTACAGGTATGTTCTACCATGCCTGGCACTTTTTCTTTTGAGCAGTGCTGGGGACAAAACACAGGGCCTTGTGCATGTTAGGCAAATGCTCTACCATTGAGCTACATCTGCAGCCTAGAGAGTAGATTTCTAACCTAAGTTCAGGAGTAGCTGCAATATTCAGAAGCTAGGGACAAGGTTTGGGTTCCACTCACCCTGAAAGAACCTCATGGTCAGACACCTTCACGCTGGACACTCCATCCCTAGCTTCGTCCAGTGTTTGCACTGGTTCAGGCCTCCGAGATCGGCAGTCCCAGCAACGGATGCTGGAATCAATAGAGCCTGTGTGGCCAGCATGAAGGTGAGGTCAGGTTTTTGACTCTTGGGCAGCACCCGTGGACCTCCTGCCCAGGCCTCAGACTCACCGGACAGGATGACTGTGGCCTCTTCATTAAATTGCACTGTGTTCACTTTCTGAGAAACAGAATTTGCCACTCAGAGGAGGCTGGATTTTGGGGGATTGGGATACATGTAGGATTCCCAGTGCTGGTTTGAAGCAAGGACACTTGGTTGGGTTAGGGAGTGCAAAGGATCTGGGGGAACTTCAAGGACAGAGCTCGGCTGTTGCTTTTGTTTACGGCACAGGGCCGGATAGGGGGACGTTGGCGGCTGTTCCCACAGGTCCCCACCTTGTACACCGAAGTGAGGTCCCCTGGCCCGGCCCACACTTACCCCAGCGTGGCCCCGGAATTTGCGCACGACCTGCCCAGATGCCACATCCCACAGTACAACAGCTTTGTCCCCGCCGCCCGAGCAGAGACTGCTGTTGTCAAAGGAGCTGGAGGGCAGTGGGCAGGAGGTCAATGTCGGCCTCCGATTCTGGCCTCAGCGTCCCCTGCCCGCCCGGACCCGGCTCACCCGGCCGCATCCAGAACCTCGTAGCCGTGGCCGCTGTAAGTGCGGAGCAGGGTCCCCCGCAGTGGGTTCCACAGCTTCAGCGTCTTGTCGCTGCCGCATGTTAGGCAATAGTTGCCGTCCACTGGGGAACACCGGGCAGGGGTTACCGGACAGCCGGCCTCGGGACGGGGAGGGTCCCAGATGAAGACGTGGGCGCTCACCATTAAACCGCACGGCCCGCACAGCCCCTTGCCCGCAGTCCAGCGTCTTCAGCAGTTTCTGCGGCAGCTCGGGTGCCCGAGGCTTTGGCTCGGGGAAAGCCATGGCTCCAGGTCCTGCTTCTCTCCGCTTTGTATGGATCCGAGGCTTCCAAAGCGCTTGGGTTTAACCTTATTATTGTCCCCCACGATCTATTTCCGGCTTCTCGGGTTCAAAATATCAGCATTTTGATGACATTGTTGGGAAAACTGAAAAACTTCTTTCAGTTTTTTCCCCTCTCACTCCCTATTTTCGAGATTTTCGTTTTTTGCTTCTTATTCTCTGGCTGTGGTTAGTTTTGGTCTTCGCCGTCAGGAACGGAAGCGTGAGGGTAGCAGGTGTTACTCTGAAAGTCACCCTCCATGCCCACACCGGAAGCTGCGGCTCCCGCAGCGGAAGAGGCGCGACCCGGTTTTCGACTCGCTATGTCCACGAACAATATGTCGGACCCTCGCAGGCCCAACAAAGTGCTGAGGTGAGGATTCCAGCGGCAAGGCAACAGGACTCGGTTTGTGGGTGCGGGTTAGGCCGAGGGAAGCGCTTGTCTCTCACAGGGGCGAGACTCGATCGTCTCTGACCCCTGAGCCTGTCATAGGTACAAGCCCCCGCCAAGCGAGTGTAACCCAGCCTTGGACGACCCGACGCCGGACTACATGAACCTGCTGGGAATGATCTTCAGCATGTGTGGGCTCATGCTTAAGGTAGGCTTGGCTGAGTGACGGTGTAGCTCCGCCTGGGAACGGGGCTGGGACGAAGTAAGGGCCTGTGGGTGGCGGGGGCGGGGCGGGACCTGGTGACTTCGACCAAAAAAACCCTAAGGTGGGAGGAATTGAGGTCCAGGGCGGTCGGTCCCTGCGGAATGAGTCTGAGCTGGGATCCAGGCTGTGAAGCAACTTGGAAGGGACTCGTAGAAAAAGAGTCGGGTCCTTACCCTGAGGGAATTTCTTTTTCTTTTCTTCTTTTTTTTTGTTGCGGGGTGGTACCGGCAACCAAACTCGGGACCTTTCGCTTGCGAGGCTTGGCGGTGGAACCATTGGCTAAATCCCTGGCCTGGGAATTTTTCTTTTTTGTAGTTCAGGCTGGTTTTGAAAAGATTTTATGTAGTCCAAGCTCGTTTCAAACTCGTGGCGATCCTCCTGCCTCAGTGCTGGGATGACAGGTGTATGCCACCACACATGGTAACATACGGAAATTTCTAAAGCTGATCTTGAGCCTCAGGGACCTTAATGGGGTCTGAGAGATGGAGGCCACTAGGAATAGGAATCAGATTTCAGCTGCAGGCTATGAAGGGTTAGAACTAAGGGGCACCTTTGGTCAGGTCTAAGCTGCACAAGGAGAATCAGTGGGCAGGATTTGGTGCCTCAGAATGTGGCTTGCGGGGGCTCCTTGTCATGCTTCATTGGCCTCATCCATTCATCCATGTTTCCTCAGCTGAAGTGGTGTGCTTGGGTTGCTGTCTACTGCTCCTTCATCAGCTTTGCCAACTCCAGGAGCTCGGAGGACACCAAACAGATGATGAGTAGCTTCATGTGAGGCTTGGAGTAGAGAGGGAGGAGTTGGAAGGGGAGGGGGCTACACCTTTGTCTGGCACTGACACCTCCTTCCTGTCTCAGGCTGTCCATCTCTGCCGTGGTGATGTCCTATTTGCAGAATCCACAGCCCATGACGCCCCCCTGGTGATGTCAGCCTGAAGGTGTGGGATACTAAGCCCCTTTGTGCACCTCCTCTTTGGCCTGGCCTTTGGCTGCTCAACCTTCTACCCTCAGCTTCAGGGCTAGAATTGCCCGAATGGCCTCAGGGCCGTGGGGACATCAGGACCCTCAGTTGATGGAAGGAACTAGGCCCTTTCACTGGGGTCCCACTTCTGCTGGCGCATAGAGGGAAAAACCTTAGGCTTTCCTACCCTGCCTGCTGCTGGGGAAGATGCTGGTCATGTTTCTAGGTGTATCCACTTGTTTTCTTGTGGAAACCAACTGATAATAAATTTTTGCATTTTGACTTCCCCTGTGACTGCTGTGTTCTGTTCGTGGGATGCCCTGCTAGGTGGAGAAGGGCTCCAGCTGCTCTGATCTTGTGGTAGGGCCCCTCTCTGGAATGTTCTGGGATTCACTTCCTTATTTCACAAGTCTTGTGCCTTAGGTCAGGTGCCAGGGAGTGTTGAAGGATTTTAAGATACAGGAAAGACCAATGAGTGATACAGGAGGGTGTTTATTTTAGGTGAACACCCACCAGCCCAAGGGACTCCTGAGCAAAGATTGAGCCCAGAACAAAGGAAGGCTCCAGTTTTTGTTTTTTTTTTTTCCAGTACTGAGGATTGAACTCAGAACGTATGCTTGTGAGGCAATTATGGCACCATGAGCTAAATTCATGGCCCTCGGCTTCAGTTTTTAATACATTTGGTTGAAGGGGGGGTGTGGGTCTTTAGTGGTGAGAGACTGTGGGGGAGGGGCAAGCAAGGTCACAGAAGTGAGACAAAGCAATTAATAACTTAGCCTTGCAGGAATACATCGCCTTATGAATCTTGTGAGAACAAGATGTCATAAACTTTGTTTACAGGACATATTTTCCCATTTTATCTGTACCAGAACAAGGAGCTACAGCCACGGGAGAGGAGAGTGATGGGGGGGGCTGCCCAAGACTGAGAAAAACTTGTTTTCCTTTAAGGATTTAGCAGGAATGTGATTTGTGCCCTCCAATAAGTCAGCAGGTGGCCTTGCGGACCTAAGGAGTCTGGGCTCTGGGTTTCTTTTTCTTTGTCGGTACTGAGGATTTATCTCAGAGTTTTAGTGAGCTACATTCCCAGCCCTTTTTTATGTTTATTTTGCGACAGGATCTTGATAAGCTGCTAAATTGCTTAGATGGAGTTCAAACTTTTTTTTTTTTTTTTTTGGTACAGGGGATCGAACTCAGGTCTTTGTGCTTGCGAGGCAGGCGGCAGAACCACTGAGCTAAATCCTGGGCTGGAGTTCAAACTTTTGATCTTCCTGCCTGGGGGATTTCAGATGTCACCACACCGGGCTTCATTTTCTTTTTAGAGGCATGATGTCTGCAAACTGAATGGACTGGTAGGAATTGGGAAGGTTGTGACTCAGTCTTACCCACCTATCAGGCTCTCCCACCTTACTGGAAGACCCAGGGGTTCGTCCCAGCCAGGCTGGGTGCCTCTCATCCCAGGCATTCCAAGGGCAGTTTTTGCTTGTTCTTTTTTTTGTGTGTGTGACAGTCTCACTGTAGTTAAAACTTGGCTTAAATTTGCTATGTAGCCCAGGCTGGCCTTGAGCTCTCTGCGATCTTCTAGCCTCAGCCTCCCAGGTGCTGGGATTACAGGAATGCACCCCCACGCCCGGCTCCCAAGGTCAGTTTGTGTGCCCAACGTCCCAGCTCCCGTAGGGCAGAATAGGACTCCTAGCCATGTTAAGTGCCTCCAGGATCCAAGTCCTGAAGTTCTACGGTGCACCTTAGGGTCCCACGCACACATTCCCCAAGTTTCATCTAGGAAGACACAGTGCCTAGAAAAAGTTGAGTCCTTTCTTCCCACTAGGCCAAAAGCACTCCAAAGCCCCACGGATGGGGCCAGGGATTTGGCTCAGTGGTTCTGCTGCCTGCCTTGCAAGCACAAGGGCCCGAGTTCGATCCCCAGTACCACGCCCCCCCAAACCAAAGACCCATGGATAAATCTTAAAAGTGTTTCCTGCCAGGGCTGGACAACTAACCTGTTCCTGAAGAACTATAGCAGTGCCCTAGTCACGAGCCCGGCCTCCAGCCCCGCCCCTCTAGCGCAGATTGGCCAGGCCAGATTCTAGGGGCGGAACGTCCGCCCAGCTTAGCGGGGCCGGGGAACTCTGGAGGCCGCGGTGGTAGCTGACCCATGGTCGTCCACGCGCCACCTTTAGGGGTCGGTGCTTGCGGCTGCTGGGGCTCCATGGGGCGCTGGATGAGTGCCCCGAGCCCGCCGCTCTCGCCTGTCTCCTTTCTCTTTTTGTTATTGCTGGCGACGCCTCGCGCTTGGGCCTCTGGATACGAGGTGAGCCGGACTTGAGGCCGGGCGGAGGCGTGAGGGGCTCTGATCTGCAGATGGATACGACAGGGTGGCCCAGGGCGTGCTCTGAGTCACTGAAGGGTCTGGATGCTCCTCCGAGGATGGGGCTAAGCTGATTTCCTACCCCCAGCTCCGCGTCACTGGGTCGCGGGCTTGGACTTTGCGGGCATTTAATTGTGGGACCATAGGGCTAGGGAGCTGGTGAGCAAAACGGCTGAGCAGGGTGTTGGTGTTGGCTCTCCTGAAGTTCAGCCAGAGTCTCCAGATCCTGCTTGTCTCCTCCAGAAAGTCTTCTCCTCTTCTTCACTTTAGTGCCCTGAAATGAGAACTAGGAAAAAAAAAGTGTCCCATGCCCCAGGATGGCTGTCCGCCCTCTGCAGATGCTTACTAGACTGCAGCTACTACTCTGATTATTTTCCTGGAGTGGGAATGGGAACCGCCTGGTGGGGCCCCATGCAGTGGGAACACAGCTATGTGTGTCACCTGCTTGGGAGGTCAGGGTGTGCTCCGCACATAGCTGGGGTTATAGCTTCTGTGCCTCTCTGAGTCACTTCCAGGTCAAGGATGGTCCTGTGTTTCTCTCACTCCCTGCCCACCTAGAGGCCTGCCATTTAGCTGCAGGGCACTGAAGTTAGGTTACCCACAATGTGTGTTTGTGTATGTGTGTGTGTTTGGGTCCCTGTACAGACATGTCCTGTGGTTCAGCCAGACATGCTGAATGTGCACCTGGTGGCTCACACCCATGATGATGTTGGCTGGCTCAAGACGGTGGACCAGTACTATTATGGCAGTGAGTAGAGAGTGGGAACTGGCAACCGACTGCACCTACTGCTGTGTCTCCCCTCTGTCCTTCTAGGCCCTGGACCTTAGGGTAGGGACAGTGCATAGCTTGGGTTCCTGCTGGCTCCTGACTGCCCATGTCCCTGTGTCCACAGTTAAGAACGATGTCCAACACGCAGGTGTGCAGTACATCCTAGACTCTGTCGTCTCAGCCTTGTTGGCAGAGCCCACCCGCCGCTTCATCTATGTGGAGATGGCCTTCTTCTCCCGTTGGTGGCGTGACCAGACAAATGCAACACAGGAAATCGTGCGGAACCTGGTGCACCAGGGTGAGCATGTCTGGGGAAATGGAAAGAGGAAGCCCAGCCCAATTTGTGTTGCTGTGGGCAGGCTTGGGGGATTTTATCTTGCTATGTAGATGGGGTGTGCAGACTTGGGGCCCCAGTGGCTTGGAATCTGGAGAACTGTGCATCCTGTTAGTCTCCACCTGCAGCAGCTCCTCTGGGGACCTTGCCCTGCACCAGGCCCTTCGTCAAATCTGTACCCCTCTTTTATCCAGGCTTTGAGTTGCCAGGCCTTCTCCTTCACTGCATCTCACACCTGGCCCCACTCCTAACAACCCTGCTTTGCATTTCCTTGTTTAGGGCGCCTGGAGTTTGCCAATGGTGGCTGGGTGATGAATGATGAGGCGGCTACCCACTATGGTGCCATTGTGGACCAGATGACACTTGGGCTTCGCTTTCTGGAGGACACATTTGGCAATGACGGGCGCCCCCGTGTGGCCTGGCACATTGACCCCTTTGGCCACTCCAGGGAGCAGGCCTCCCTGTTTGCCCAGGTGCTACCCTGACCTCTGAAACCCACCCTTTCACATGCACTGACTCCTCCTTTCTCTGCAATCTCACTGGGACCAGCCCAGCCCCACTGGTCCTTCCCTTTTGTGAAGTTGAATTTTGAGAGTCCTTCCTTTTGCCTCTGGCCTAAGCAACCTCCTTCTGCAGCTGGCTTCTCCCTGCCTTACTCCTTGCTAGAATCCTGGCTCCTTCTCTGTTTGGGTTGCAGGTAGATGCCTACCTTGCTTCCTCTTTGTTTTGTTGTTTTTTTATTTTTTGGTACTGGGGATCGAACTCTGGCCCTTGTGCTTGCCAGGCAGGCGCCGGAACCACTGAGCTAAATCCCCAGCCCTTTGTTGGTTTTTTGAGACAGGATCTCACTATGTAGTTGAGGCTGACCTGGAACTCACTATTAACTCAGGCTGGTCTCAACTCACAGCAGTCCTCCTGCCTCAGCCTCCGGAGTGCTGGGATTACAGGCATGCACCACCATGCTCGGCTTGTTGTTTTTTTTTGAGACAGGGTCTTGATGTGTAGTTCAGGCCATCCTTGATCTCACTGTGTAGTCCAGGCTGGCCTCAAATTTGAGGTGATCCTCTTGCCTCACTCTCTAAGTGCTGGGATTAAGGGTGTGCACCACCTTGTCTGGCCTGGCCCTTGCTTCCTCGTTGGTGCTGGGGATGGAGCCTAGGGTGTTTGTTTGTTTGTTTGATTTTTTGGTTTTTTTGAGACAGGGTCTCACTATGTAGTTGAGACAGACCTGGAACTCACTATGTAGTCCAGGCTGGTCTTGAACTCACAGTGATCCTCCTGCTTCAGTTTCCCAAGGGCTGGGATTATAGGCATGTGCCACCACACCAGGCAGTAGGGTTTGTGGTTATTAGGCAAGAACTCTACCACTCAGCTGCACCCCAGCCCTCTATCTGGGTTTGTTTAGATATATTTAGAAACAGAGTCCTGCTGTGTAGTTCATACTGGCCTTGAACTCACTATGTAGCCCAGGCTGGCTTTAAATTTGCAGCGATCCTATCTCTGCTTCCTGAGTGTTGGGATTATATGAGTGTGCTACCAGTCCTGGCTACTTATTTAGCTTTTTTTTTCTTGTTCTTGATGTTATTTATTCATCCACTTTTATGAGTATATGTTTGCACTATATAATGATTACATTTACTGTAGGAGATTGGTACATATACAAAATACATGTCAATTCCCTCCCTACCCGCTTCTTCCACCCCCTATCTGGCTTTAAAACCAGCTTTATTATTATCCTTTGGCTTTCTCCTTTCCCCTTTGGTCTAGCTGGACAGGGGGAGGTGAGTTCTGGCTTTCCAGTTGCCCTCCTGTTGCTGGG